GGGTCTCGCTCTTGTTCAGGGTGGTCTCCAACTCCTGACCTTGAGCGATCCACCCACCTCGGCCTCCCAGAGTGCTAGGATTACAGGCGTGAGCCACCGTGCCTGGCCCATTTTTGTATCTTTTTTGGAGAAATGTCTGTTCGTGTCCTTTGCCCATTTTTAAATTGTGTTATCTTTTCATTATTGAGTTGTTTAGAGACTGGGCAGAACTTAAAACTTCCAGATAAATTCCTTGTAAGACTTTGTCATGATATATCATTAATTCCCTGAATGGTCTAATCCCTTGGCAAGGGGAAAAAGGTAATTTTATAAGAAAATCCCTTGTACAACAGTATAATGTTTCCTTTATTTCAAATCATTACATTGTGTGTGTGTATATTTGTCCATTTATGTTTTTTGTTTGTTTTCAAACTTTATTTTGGAATAATTTTAGATTTCTGGGAAAGTTGCAAAGATAGTATAGAGAGCTTCTGTATACTGTTCACCCATTTTCCCCTCATATTAACACCTTATGAACTGTGGATTTGTCAAAACTAAGAAATTGGTACATTATTATTAACTAAACTCCAGACTTTATTTGAATTTTAGTTTTTCTACTAAAGTACTTTCTGTTCCAAAATCTAAACCGTTATATCCTGTTGCTTTTTGCAAGATATAATTTTCTCTGATTATTATATAACTTTAGTATTTATTTATTATTGTTCAGCATTTACCCATACTTTAATTTTTTATGTCCTCAAAAGTGATATTTACAAGTTGAGTAGTGAGTAAAATTAATACATGTCTGTGATTTCCAAATTATGAAAACAAGATCAGATACAAAAAAAATCAAGATAGCCAGGTACGTGCCTATAGCCCCAGCTACTTGGGAGGCTGAGGCAGGAGGATCACTTGAGCCCAGAAGTCTGATTCCAGCCTGGGCAACACAGTGAGACCCCATCCCTATTAACATAAAATAAAAGAAAAAAAACAAGATAATTCTTAATATTGTTATTAAAAGTTATTATCTGTTGTTTTCTGTTGTGTTTTTCAGCAAGAGAAGCATTTGAGAAGAGGATATCTCCTGTAATTATAGATAATACAAATCTACAGGCATGGGAAATGAAGCCATATGTTGCTTTGGTTTGTATCATAACTTATAAGTTTAGAGTAGTGGGTTTGAAATTATTGGAGGATGTTATTTATTTACACAAGTGAATCTCAAGCATTTGAGAATTTCAGAATCTTGCATTGTCTATAACAGCTTTCTTTGGTCTTTAGTAAGATGAGAAAATAGGACAGTATAGCTGAGTTTTTCCATAAAGCTAGATTTTTTCCGTTTTTAAATTCTGAAATTCAATTTTTTTTCTACTACAACTCATGGGGCTGAATGAAATTCAATTTTTAAATTCTGAGATTTTTTGGGGGGTTTTTTTAATGAACAAGTAGTGGTATTAAATTATAATTTTATGTTTTTTGCGTGTGTGTGTGTGTGTGTGTGTATATGTAACATATATATATTTCTGATTCCTCTTGGCAGCATCAATATTTGGTAGTCCTTTGTTATTCTCCAAATTTCTTTTTAAATTTTACTATTCTCAGAAATTCAGAATTCTGTAAACTCAACTATTTTCTCTGAATTTGCCAGATTCCTTTTCTCTTTTTTCTTTTTTTTTCTCTTTTTTTCTTTTTTTTTTTTTTTTTTGAGACAGAGTCTCACTCTGTTGCCCTGGCTAGAG